ACCTCCGACCACTTGGAGGAGTCTCATTCACAACCTCCATCAGTCCAATTCAGGACTTGGGACTTGCTAGCCCCAAGAATGGCATCCATGCCACTCAACACTTGCACCTGGTCCAAGTGCTCCACGTGTCCAGTCTCAAGATCGACACCCAAAGGTACCACTGACATCTCGGCCCGTTATGCTAAGGCCATGCCCATTCACCTTTGCTGCACTAGTGGTCCAATACCACTTGCATCACCATCCCGTCTCTCCAAGACTGGGCCATCTGTCCACGAGTGGTCATCCTAGATCCACTCCTTAGCATCCTTAGGATGCCCACAGACCTGGGGAATAGCCTTCCCCAAAGTCCCTTTGTCAGTTCCTACCAAGTCCCTTTCTGCCCCTGGCCGTATTTGCCAACACTGTCACTGGATCGAGGCCCACAGGCCCGACCACTAAGTCCCATGGTCCTCTAGGACTTCCTCACCACACGATTGTGTCCTTGGTCACTACCCCAGAGGACTGCTCCTCTTACTTTCCACAATCTAGGCCTTTGGGACAACATTTCGGAACACCGTGGCCTTATGCGAGCCACCTAGGTACTCTCCCTGCCTTTTGCCTTTAGATGCTCTAGCCATGGGCTTAGAGCGAGGTTCCGTTGAGCCACACCTGGTATCCAAGTAGGTAGTGCCACCCACACTTGGACTGGGAGCATCGGCCAGTCGATCTCCCGGGGGAACTAGAGCCGGCTCTTGAACACTTCACCAAGCTACCCCGCTTGTCGGTCCGTATTCACTTTAGTCTTGGACTTCCCAGTGGTCAGTTCATCACCCAACACTGGGTCTGGCCTTCCTGGGCCAAACTGGCCTTTCCTGGCCAAACTGGCTCCACTGCAGTCCTCCCCCTTACTATACTTTTAGAGCTCACCAAACCCCCCAGGGTCTGGGAGACGAACGCTTTGGGCTTTCACCCTCTCAGACTCAAACTCGGACTCGGACTCGGACTCGAACTCGGACTCGGACTCGGACTCGGACTCGGACTCGGACTCGGGCTCGGGCTCGGTCTCAGCCTTGGCCTCGGTCTCGGTCTCGGTCCCGGTCTTGGTCCCGGTCTCGGTCTCGGTCCCGGTCTCGGTCCCGGTCTCGGTCTCGACCTCGGACTCCATCTTGGGTCCATCTCGGACTCCATCTCGGGTCCATCTCGGACTCCGTCTCGGTCCACCTCGGACTCCATCTCGGACTCCATCTCGGGTCCATCTCGGACTCCATCTCGGGTCCCTTTTTGGAGCCTTGCTTATTGCTTGCTTTGTGCTCGCTCCTTAAGCACTTTGTTGGGAGTTCCACTCCCGCTCTCGACCTTTCAAGTCGGAGCTTTTAGTTTAAACGTGTTACGCTCGTTTGGCTTTCACTTCGGCCACTACCACGTGGCACCCTTTCCAGCTCCACTTTGGGGCCTAGGGATTTTGTGTCTCACAGTGCAATGGTTAAGTGGCATGGATGTTATTCTTGGGGCTAGCAAGTCCCTAATTCCAAAATAGGATTTACGGAGGTTGTGAGTAAGACTCCTCCAAGTGGTCAAAGATGTGGTTAAGTGACTAAAGTAGAATGGGAAATTTAGTCTTTTACACAAAGGTGGTTGGATTAAGTGCATGTGCAAAGTGCTGGCTACAACATTCTCAACTTGATCCACTCTGACATATTTGACTCCACACAAAGCAAAAGCCTTTGAAACCGAATGCTAAATTACACAGCCTTTGATGAAGACAATGTAATTGTTAGAAAGCATAATATGATGCTTTCTAACACATTTCAATTGCAAATGTGTGTTTGAAGATATCTAGAAGAATGCTCTAATCTTTAGGAGTGGCTGTGCTCAAACCATTATACCATTGTAGTGCTGTCTCTTGGAGATATATGGGAAATTCACACAAATGTTGAGCATCATCCCAAAAATGATATATGGCAATCATTGTGAAGTGATCGAATCAATGGTACACATCATCCCTAGGATTCCCATGAAAGACATCCAGTTGAACTCGAGGACATCAAGCAATTGCATCAATTGCTACTCTAGAATCAAAGGAAAAAGAGGCTACTACTCTACCATAAAGATGAACAAAAAGGAAAGAGCAAAAAAAAAAAGTTGAGAAAAACTACAAGAAAAGGGGGATCTAGATAATCAAAAGCTAGATCTAAAACAAAATTCCAAATCCAAGTACTTCTTAGAGATAATCAAAATTACCCTTCATCTCCACTTATGTGAATGTATGATATGGAAATAGAATACAGAAATGTGTATATTAATTAACTAGAAAACACTAGTTTATAGACATATGCAAATGGTCTGGATTGAAACAAATTTGACATCTACCAAATCCCATTATGCTAATATTAGTATACAGCATTGTAATTGCACATCTTGTATTACAAAGTAATAGATATATATTTAATAAAAACTAAGTTATCATAGTAAATTTTATATGAGTAGTAAAACTACATCTTATTTTAATGAAATTTTAGAGTTTGATTATCTTTAAAATTAAATATAAAGTTTTGTTTTGTTTGTATTCTTTTATTTATTACTAAACAAATGAAACCTATTCTTTTTTATTTATTCTTAGCTAAGTGCACTCTATTATTTATATTAAATTATCAATATATAAATTAAATTAGGATTTTATTTTTGATAAAAAAATTTTTATATAAGTATTTCTTATCTTAATTTTCATATTTTTATATTATGGTCATAAAAAACATTTACAATAATACTATAAAATTTAATTTATAATTCTAATAATTTGCTACATGTTGCATGTAGCAATGCTTAGTTTACTTAATAGTGGTGTTATTCCTACTTATTAATGCAATTGATCAAATAAAGTTTATAATTATAAGCATGTTTGTAATTTATAAACACAAGATTAATCTTATTGCATATCAACTTTTAGATGGTAGAATAAAAAAGAATAAATGGTTAAAGAAATTTTATAAATTAAAAATATGTTTATAAATTATAAATACAAAATTAATCTAAATGAATAACAACCTTTAGATGGTGGAATATCATAGAATATCCAAGAATATTCTTTGTATATCCACTACCATCTCAGTACCCTTACAGATTTGTTTAAGCAAATAAAAAATTTGATACAATCATATATATTTATAAGTAAAGTCTACTTTTGGGATATTATATACAATATAAAAATAATTTTGTAGAAGAAGGGTTTTATCCATATATTTGTGCTTACAGAATATTATTTTTAAAGGTTACTATTGTTCTCTCCAATACAATGAATGACATTTTTTTTAGTAAATTTTAAAAATTTAAACCATTTATTAAATTTATAATTAATTAGATATATATAAATCAATTGTCAATCTAAAATTACATAAAGAAATTCATCATGGTCATAAAAATCTAATTTCAAAATTGTGTTTATTGTGAATTGGTTATACTAGGTTAGCCCCTTCACATAATTTGTTATAAGAAAAAATTAAACCACTTTTTATCTTAGTTTCTATTTTAATTATATTTCTTTTACATTTTTCTCTTCAATTCGAATCTTGTGTCCCATGTTTACTGCGGCAAAAGACCTACTTTACCTCTTAGGCAATCGCGACCGGGTAAAGCGGCGAGCGCTGATCGATTCTTTCTCCGCGGCGAGACACGAGCAAGGGAGCATTCAATTGATCGCAACGAGGTGGGTTTTAGATTTGGGCGCTAGTCTTGTCTTGTGCGTCAACGCAACGGCGATGGCAGCGATTGTCGGTACCGTGGGGCCGATTTAACTCGCGCTCCAGCGGCTCAGACCTCTCTTTCCTTGTCAGGGACCGCGGGACTTCCTCTCCTTGTGCTTTGCTTAAATTTCTCTCCTCCTTTGTCGAGTTGGGTGTTCTTTCGTTTTTTTTCCGAGAGACAAGCAGCGTTCGTAGTGAATCTACTAGGTATGGTTTCTTCTTTGTTTCCTCTCTCTCTCTCTCTCTCTCTCTCTCGCTCCCTCCCTCCCTTTTTCTTGTGCTTACTGGCTTCTGGGAGAGAATTGAAATGCTTTCTCCTGGTCGGTTTGTTCTTCCTCGGAGTTTGAGTTGCGATTGATTTTATCCTTTTGCTGAGTTTTCTTTCGCATTCGCAGGCCAGCACCAAGATCACGAACTCGACTCCACCGCAACGCCACCTCAGGCAGTGAATTCTCTCCCCGCAGCTGTGGATCACCACCAGGAATCAACGTCGCCGTCGTCGGTGATGGCTTCTCTCAGCCGGGGGGTGTCGATCAGGAGGCAGGGGTCGTCGGGCCGGAGCTGGGCCGACACGCTGGGACTTAACAACCCGGTGGAGCCGGCGCAGAGATTTAGCAGTAGCAACACCAGGGGCGGAAAGGGCGATGGGATCACCAAGAAGACGATCATGGCCCCGGACAGCGACGACGATCGCCACCGCCAGCACCACCATCGCACCAGTGCAAAGTCCTCGGCAAAGTCTTCGTCGTCGAGGGGAGGCGGTGTTTTCAGCTGGCTCAAGAACAGGTTTCGAAAGGCGAGATCTTGAGCCTTCTCTTCTTTTCCTCTTTCTTTTCTCTCTTTTTTTCTCTCGACGCACGGGTGGCGAGGACGGGGAAACGATTGAGTGCTCACAACCTGCGATCCAATCCTTAGAAACGTAGAGCTTCTCTCTCTTTTACTTTCTAGACCTTCTTTTCCCTTGTGCTTTTGGGCATCATATTTTGTCAAGCTTTGATGTACATGGCGATGATACGATACGACACGACTTTGTTCGATTCCTTTGACTTTTTCGATCTCTCTCACGCGGCGGCCACACGCATTTGTTTCTGCATGCAAGTGTTTACTCGCAAGTTGCAAGGGCTGAATTCGTCTCTGACAGATAAAAGTGGGAGCTTGACACATAGATCACCAGCAAAATAGTGGTTTAGAAAAACAGGAAACTCGTGGACGGCAGGATTCGAACCTGCGCGGGCAAAGCCCACATGATTTCGAGTCATGCCCGATAACCACTCCGGCACATCCACCTTAAACACACAACCCGAGTTTATTTCCACACCTTTAGGCTTTAAGCACGGAAAGAGTGACCGGCCGAAGAACATACGCCTCTCCCGTTCCATCGAGAAACTTACGAGCTCTTTATCCTCTTTGTCTCTCTTGAAAGCTGGGGAGGGATAGAGCTCTGCCTGGAGCTTGAAAGGATTTGCTCGCTACTCCACCAGTCCAGGCCCTGCGAGTTGTGATTGCTGAAAGCTTTCCTGCGCACCACCCCCCCCTACCAGTTCTCCAGCCACTGCGGCGCAGCGCTCGACTCTTCGGATGTAGCCGAGGGACTGATGAGCAGATGATGGCTGTCGTCCGCCCGTGACGTCTTCAATGCCGACTGGAGCCGACTTAACACCTCGAAAGGCACGTCCGTGCGGCACTCGAGCAGCGCCTCCCAGTCGAGGCCGGCGAACCACGGCTGGGCCTTGATCTCCTCCATGCCTCGGCTGCCGAGCCTCTGGGAGACGTCCACGACCAGCAGCTGGAGATATAAACACAAAGAAGTTACTGGCTGATCATCTGTGGCTTGGAATAAATGAATCAATGAATACCTTGTCGATCAAGTCAACGAGTTCGCCGCTGAAAGTGGAAGGGAAGACTAGCTGCCTACCGGCAATCTTGCTGTAAATATCCAGCTCGCTGTCTCGCCACGATCCGAACGGCAGCTCGTTTTGTACCATGTAATACAAGAGCACTCCCAAAGCCCACCTGAAAGAAATATCATACACATTTGCCGAGAAAAAGCATGAAAAAACAACGGTTGTTCTTACCAGTCAGCACCAAAGCCGTGACCTTGACCTCTGATAATCTCGGGGGCGAGAAAATCAGCCATGCCGCAGATAGTGTAAGCTCGTTCGTCTAACAGCTTTTTGCCAAACCGAAAATCAGCAAGCTGCACGTCACCATGACAGAAAATAAATTGGTAAGATACACAAGGAAAAAGAGAGGAGAGTTAGTCACCTGTAGTCGTCCTTTTCTATCCAGCATAAGCATATCTGGAGATACTCCACGGTAAACAACTCCATCCTGGACTCGAAGCAATGAATCAATGGAAAAGAATTTCCAACAAGAAATCAAAATGTACCTTATGCATAGAGTCAATCGCCATGGCGACAGAGGCACCAATAAACCGGGCCGAGTCTTCCGAGAGTGGCGTGTTCAATATCAGGGACAGCGGCCCCCCCAACGCGCAATTGAGAAGCATTGCAGCGTACCTCTCATCCGCAGAAGTGCATACCACTTGCGGCACGTACAAAGACGGGCTTAAGTCTTGAAACAGAAACTTTTCCTGCAGCACTTGAGACTCCCTTCCGAGTGCTTTGATAACTTCCAAGGGATAACGCTTCATGCTAAAAACCTGTCCTGCTCTTCAAAGAGAGACAACGCATGAAGTAAAAGGAACAAAAAAAAAAACAAGGACTGTAGCATTACCTGTTTTCTTTAAACTAACCAGCCCAACCTCGCAGCAATCTGTCGTGTATACAGTTTCTTGCCATTCCTGCATGTGGAAGTCGTAGTTTTAAATTGCAAAAGCTGTAGACTCGTACAAACTTACCAAGTCTCCTAAATCACTAGTTATCGACAGAGTGTCCAGCTTTGCAGATTGCTGCTTTCTCAAAGAGAGTATCTTCTCCCGCAGCCTGAAAACGTAAATGTTAGAGCGCGGACAAACGGAGCAGAGAGAGCACCATACTTCATGTTGTCTTCGATGACTCGGTCCAGCTGGCCAACAGCTTTCTCGAGAGTTTCCCTGCTTATAGCCCAGCACTCAACATCACCAACTGCAACTGCGGTCAAAGAACGTGAAGGCTCACCCCGTAGCACCCATTCGCCAAAGTAATCCCCCTCACCCTTTCTATCGGTCAGATTTTCTAAAGCTCCATGGTGCTTTACATCAACAAAACCCTTCCGTAAGAGATAAAAAGTAGAGACTTCAGCGCCCTGCGTAAGAAAACAAACGACTCAGTATCTCGTTGGTTACACCTAATGCCACTGTACCTTTTGTGCTATCACTGCCCCGTCCCGAAAGCTAACTTCCGATAATGAATCGGCGAGACGGACAAGCTGCGCTATATTCAACGTCGCAAGGACTTCTACAGCCCGCAGATGTTTCAGTGCGGATCTTCGAGTGTTCATCGACAGTAAACCTCTAAATGCTTCTCGACCAAGCATCCACAGTGTACCTTCGGTAACAGCGCGAATAGACGCCTGACGGGGCTTATTATACCTGCATAAGCATCCAAAGTGTTGAGTAAAAAATATGAAATGCTCGAGAAAGCGACTTACATCAATGCCAGCTCTCCAAAACAAGGGCTATTGTAAGCAGTGTACTGGTTCACAATTGTTCCCAAGTCATCTTCGCTTTGATTTTCATCCTGCACGTTGGCCGGTTATGCCAGAATTGTTTTATCGCGTTTAACTTTTACCTGAGCCACCAACACGTCAAACTTGCCGCTTTCAACGATGTAGAAGTGATCGTCTTCGGCCCCCTGTTGATAGAAGCATTTCTCGTAAACACTCTATGATTACGGGATGATCTACCTGACGAATTATAATCTTTCCAGGTTGAACTTGTACTTTCTCAAAACAATTGTACAGCGTTTCCCATTGTTTCTCTGTGAGATTGTGAAAGAGAAAGTTGCCCTGTAAAGCATGCTTGATTCGCGCCTGAAGTCTTAACCAGAGTCAAGCTTTTACACCAGCTTACAAATAAGACGAGCAAACCTTCTCTTCATCGGTTTTTATCTGCTGCTCAGACGGCGGCACCCATTCTGTTTGATGCTCTAGAGAAGCTTCAATTGCTCGCAGCTTTGCAGCAGACACTTCATGGCTCGCTGGACGCACCTGCTCTGCGGGTTCACTGTAATCCCGCGGCTTAAACGGGAGCTCCGCACCTTTACAGTGGAAAACCGCATTTTGATTGTGATTCTCCTGCGACAGAAGAAGAGAAGTCATAAATGCACACACAAATAAAGTAAGCTTGTACCTCTTCCAAGCCGTCAATGTTCACAACAATGATTGTGATATCATCAGTACGGGTCTCATACTGCAACCATAAACGGTATGATTCAGCTACAATCGCCGCACATGCATCACGTGGATCCTTGTGTTTCGCTACCTGAAAATCCGAATGCCATTAGATTAAGGATGCTAGTCTCCAACCATCACTACAGCTTACCATGTCGACAACATCCTGGCTTGAGAGGAACTCAAACACGCCATCGCTTGCGAGGACGAAGAACGGATGCGTACCATTGATCTCGAAAGATGCCACCTCCGGCACGGCAATCACTCCAATCCGTTCAGCAACTGTGTCACCTATGCTTCTTGTAAAAGCTGTCCCCGGGTACATTCCATTTGCCACCCACAAGCGGGGAGGATCCCCATCGTCGTCCTCCTCCCCACCCCAGCACTGTAAAGCAGGACTCTTCAGGCCCTCAAGTTGGTCCAGTGTGAGCACTCTAGCTCCACACGTTTTGACCCTTTCGCACTCATCAGTCCTGAAAGGAGTCTGGTCACTTGAAAGATCTACCGCAGTCAGCTTACCGTTGATCCTCTCAGCAAGCACGGCTCTGGAATCACCAACATTTGCAACGTACAGAGTCTTCCCCCGGACGAGAACTGTTATAGCCGTGGTACCACTCATGGAGTCGTCAACCTGAGAGCGGTGGAGCTGGAGATTCGTGGTGATAAAAGCCGACTGATAGGCCTGGACAACGTCCGCGGTGAAGCAGCCATGCTTGAGCAGATTCTCACACAAGTGCTTCTTCGCGAACTGCGAGCACTCAGCACCAAACTCGCCGTGGCCATCAAACACGCCGAAAAAATGGTCGTTGGGATTCTTCCCGAAGTGAGTATGTACACAAAAACTGTCTTGGTTGGCCTTGTCCAAAGCCTCCGGATAGTAGCCCCTCTGCGAGAGGAACGAGAACCGGAGCTCGAAATTGCCATCTGGAACCTGCGTAATCTTACAGCCACTGGCAGGAAGATACTGACTAGAGAGCCTTGCTAGCCTCGGCAGCCCAATGTCCGCATCAGAAACTCCCAGCTTATCCCCACCATCATCACTCAAATCCCCGCTCAAGTCATCCACCATCACGAAGTCCTCCTTGGGAGCCTTAGAGCTGTTAAAGTTCGCGAGGAGGCCGGAATTGGCATTCCCGAATGCTCCGGAGCTACTATCTTTCCCACAAACGCAACCCATGGACTACGTGCTGTCTCATAGCAACCTGTGATGATCCAATCCCTGCGACCAATTCCCACTCATCTGCTCTGTCCCAGAGAACTGGAAAACTAAATCCTCCTGTTCTATCCTGATCCTCCCAATCCTGTGTTCTAAGTGTTCTAGATTCCCAAACCCACCAAACTTCTGCGCTGTGCTTCTTCGTCGAAGAAGCCACGGAAAAAGATTGGATGATGCTTGTAGCCTGTGCGCTCTTCCCCGAGGAAAGCTGTCCATATATTTTATCTCCCTCCCAACTTGACTTTGGCGAAGGATTCTTTAATCGCCCCCAGCCATTGCAAGCTAAAATCTAAAATTTAGATCTCCAATTTGTGTACCTGGCTCTGTCACGAGGGGGACAGCATTGTTTCTGGCAAAAAGAGAGGCCGCGCTAGCGACGTTGGACCCCGCACAAGCAACAAAACACGCGATGCCAGCGCTCCGGGGATAAAAGAAATCGCCTGCCTCCAAAATCCACAGCCGGAGCGTCAGCATTTATGCGCGGTAGCCCGAGAATGCGGGCAGGAAGACGTACCGGATGAAATCCCCGCGCCGCCGCCGACGCCGTCGCCGCCGCCGCGCCGCGGAATGTAGAGCGCCTCGCCGCTCCCGATTCCAAGAGCTAGCACCGGGGCGTCGGATCGAGCTCGCTGGCGCTCGCCATTCCCAAACCCTTCTCGAATAAGGAATAGCGCGCACAAAACTTCACTACCTAGAATACGTTCCAAGTGTGGATAGATCCTAATCGCACCGCCCGATGGAGCGGGATTACGTAATGGAATGTGTAGCCATTGCAATCTCCCGCGTCCACGTGGCGGGATCGTAGCGGTCACTTTGGCGGGTCCAGAAAACGTAGGAAAAAACGAGCGAGCTACCGTACACTTAAAACGAGGCGCGGATAAATCCGAGCAGCGCGACAAAGAACGAACGTCCTTTTCGTAATTTTTCCTTTGGGCTGCCGATCACAGTGGACAAATAATTTACCTAGTTCCTCACGCTCGTTTCTCTCCTTTCCAATAATCGAGCTTTAAAGCTCTCTCTGCAAGTTCAAAGCTCTCAAAGTCTTCTAGCAAAAAGAAAGAAGGAACAAAGAAAAGAAATGGAAGCACTGACCTTGAGCTGGATTCTAGCAATGGCTGCTTTGTGTGTTTTCCTGGCGCTCGTCTGGAGATTAAGGCTGCCACCATCCATGAATTTGCCACCGGGACGAATGGGCTGGCCTCTCGTCGGCGAGACTCTAGAGTATCTCGCAACCAGGCCGATCGGAGTGCCTCAGCCTTTTATTGCGAAAAGAGTCGCACGGTCTGTTGCTGGATTTGAGGAACTTTGTTCTTTAGCGTCCTGAAAAGAGGAAAGCTTTGTCTTGCAGGTACGGGAGTATCTTCAAGACGCACCTGTTCGGGTGTCCCACGATCGTGACGACTGATCCGGACTTTAACAGGTTTGTCCTCGCCAACGAAGGGAAATTGTTCCAGAGCTCCTATCCCGCTGGCGTTGATCGCGTCCTCGGCAAGTTCTCGATGGTGCAGGCCAGCGGCGAGCTCCACAAGAGGATGCGAGCTTTGACGGTGAGCTTCATGCAAGCCCAGAGTCTCAAGGACAATTTCCTGCAAACAATTCAAGCGCGAGTGATCAGTCTCTTGTCAACTTGGGAGGGACGAGTTGTTAAGATCCAGGACGAAGCACAATCGGTAAGAATGAATAGAAGGATCCAGGCTTTGACGATCGCTTACTCTGTGATCAGCTGTCATTCGACTGTATTGTTGGTCACGTCCTGGGCATGGATCCTGGAGCAGAGAACACAAAAACCATAAAGGAGGACTTTTTCAACTTGGTGTACGGTTTGACAATACCTTTGAGAATCCCGGGAACTCGGTACTGGACAGCCATGAAGGTTCAGTTGGATCCTGTTGAATGAAGAATCTTGTACTATTTTGGAGTGACAGGGACGGCAAAACATCGTGAGGCTCGTCGAGCAAATGGTCGCGGAGAGAACGACAAAGCCTTGCACAGCTCGCAAAGATTTCCTTCAACAATTGCTACAGGATGACAATGGAAAGAATCTCACCTTGGAACAGATAAGCGACTTCATCGTGTTCATGCTCTTTGCAGCACACGATACAACAGCGACAGCAATGACCATGGCGATCAAATACCTTCTGGCTAATCCACAAGCGCTAAATCAGCTGCAGGTACGCTGCTCATATTTAGCATCAATATCCTGCAAACCATACATTTAGGAAGAACACCTTGAGATTCGAAGGAACAAAAGGAGTCCAGACGAACCACTAGAATGGAATGATTACCTTCAAATGACCTTCACTCAACACGTAAGTCGCACAGTCCGAAGCTGTTTTTAACTGTAGAGATTAGCAGGTTATAAACGAGACACTGAGGCTCACTAACGTGCTAACATCTGCCCATAGGATAGCTCTGCAAGACGTTCAAACTGAAGGTGAGAGCCCAGACAGAATATAAATTTGGTCTTACTTCCTGAGCGTGAACTTCATAGAAGGATATGTGATACCGAAGGGCTGGAAAGTGGTTTCCAGCTGGACCACGATACATCTCAATCCAAAACTTTACGCAGAACCATTAGAGTTCAACCCCTGGCGCTGGAAGGTAAACACAAAACTTAACCTGAAGCAGGCTCATAACTTTGCTGCAGACTCAAAGCGTTAAGTACTTCACTCCTTTTAGTGGCGGCCCAAGATTTTGTACCGGATCTGAGCTAGCTAGACTGGAGATCGCGCTTTTGCTGCATTTTATCATAACCAAATACTCGTAAGAAACAGGAAAACTACATTTAAGAAACGCTAACAAACCTGCTCTTTTCTAGGTTGCACCCTGCTGAAGACGACGAAGCTGTTTATTTTGGAACTGTGAAAATGCGGAAAGGTCTCCCTGTTACTGTCACCAAACTCTCACAGATTCTATAGCTTTCTACAAAAAAAACCGAGCGATAGTTAGTGTCAAAGCAAAATGAAACCACACTTACACATCAGATTAGACTTCTTCGGACAAATAATAAGAGACGTTAGCATGTTAAAACGCGTAGAAAAGAAACTAGCGACAGTGCTTCATGGCTATAACTTGAACGTCAACCAAATTAAAACTTGCTCAAAACTTGTAAGGAACCCAAGCTTGGATTCTCTCAAGACAAAAAATCTCTCTTGCTGGGAGAACTGAGAGACGACCCTGGTTTCTTGTGAATTTACAAGAACTAGAAACCAAAAGAACCTGGAAAGGAAGCGTCAGTCCTCATCGTCAATTGCCAAGTTCAAGGTGTGCATCCTAAAGCCTGCTTTTTCCATTGTATCTACGATCTCCGACGCAACATTTGTTGCCTGGATGATTGTCTTCTTAGTGAGCTGAAAATGGAGGGTTGGGAACCCGGTGAGGCTTTCGAGCGATATAAAAAACAAAAAAAGAGAGAAGAAGCCCCGCTTACCGAAATGGACGTCAAACCTTCAAATGTAGTTATCCTCACATCACTGACGTCTTCCATTGCCTGGCACGAGAAGAGAAAAATATAAGCAAAGATTGTAAATGGAGATCGAAGATGGCATACCTCTAAAGAGCTTTGGACGATTGGAATCGATACGTCGGGCATGGAGCCTTCGGCCTGTGTGCCACAAGACACCTCCCGTGAAAACTTTAAGAACAAACTCTACAAACCTTGAGCATCATGACGAGCTTCTCTGCTTCCGTTTGTTCTTCTTGCGCTGCTCCCCCAGACTCCTCTTCTTTCGCTGTCTCTGGCTCAACCTACATTCGCCAGGATCTTCAAACAATCCAGGCCTCACGACAAAGTGCAAAGATCTGACCTGTGAATCGTCCGGGGCCGCCACAGGCGCATCCGAATCGACCGCCGCCTCTGTGGATTCAGCGAAGACGCGAAAGATCCTCCAATGCGGCGTCGGTCCTCTGGGCGCGCGCATCCGCCATTGCTGATGGAGATGAGACTGATGATGCCGGAGAGACAAGCAGGCGCCGCTAACACACCCTAGGGTTTGGACCTGGCAAGAAGAAGCGGGAGAAGGCGCAAGGAGAGGACGAGGCACTAGAGCGGCCGCCATAGCCGGGGAAAATGTATAGCCGGGGAAAATGCTTGCTCTAAAATCTGCCACGTGGAACCTCTAACCTAAACCCATATTCAATTTTCAAAAACCGCATATTCCATACCCGGGAAAAACCACGCTTTGTTTATTAGCATCGCAGTACGCCGCGAGAACAGTGCCTTGGGAAATGGAAATGGTGAATATAAGTCCATGGATACATGATCATAGATTTCCATGCGAAAGCTTGAGAGAGCTTGAGACTTACTGATCAAGAAGCCTTTGATTTTGCTTTGGAGATATCTCTTCCATAAAGACCAGCGATCCCAGCTGCCGGATCATTTTGTTTTACCAGAGATTCGCCAACCAAAACCTGAGAAGAAAAGTCTGAGAATCAATACAAGAAAAGCTATCTAGCTATGGTACGCACCGCGCGGACTCCAGCTTTTTGAACGACTGCTATGTCTTCTGGAGTAAAGAGCCCGGATTCTCCCACCACCTAGCACAGAGAAAGGTTTTGTAGATGTTTTCTGTGAGAATTCCCAAGCATTCCCAAGGAAATAGACTAACCATGATTCCCAAAGCATGGATTATATCCATCCTTGCGGTGGTGAGGAGTTTCACGGTGTTGTTAATGTCCACTTTGAAAGTTTCTGCGTGTTTCTTCCCTCACAGTTAGATTGCTGGCAACTCGAATCACGCTTACCAAGATTTCTATTGTTGATACCAATGAGCTCTATTCCAGGTAGCTCCAAAACACGGTCCATCTCTGTTCCATTGTGAACCTAGAAAAAACCCGAGTGAAGATCCAGGTGTGAGCCAGCTTTCTCACCTCAACCAGAGCCGACATGCCGTTTTGTTTCACAACTCTCATCAAGGAACGTAACTCGTCGTCGGTTAAGACAGACGCGATCAAAAGAACCGCGTCGGCTCCCTTTGCACGAGCGTAATATATTTGCCATGGATCAATGATAAACTCCTTACACAACAGGGGACACTACAAGGAAAATTATCAGCAAACAAAAATAAAAAAACGTTCAAAGTCAAGTAGTATTTCTTGCCTGAACTTGAGCTGCCCGAATCAAGCTTAAGTTCTCGAAGCTCCCCTGAAAATCTCAATATAAATCTCATGTTAAGCAAATCATAAACGCTAGCATGCCTGGAAATATTTTGAGTCCGTGAGCACGCTCAAGCAAGAAGCTCCGCCATTCTCGTATGCCTTTGCAATACGAACCTGAAACAAGAAGAGAACTTAATACTTCAGAAACGAGAAAATGAAGAAAAATTCCACCAAGAAAACTATACCGGATCGAAGTCGGGTTGAATCACACCTCGACTTGGAGAAGCCTTCTTCACCTCAGCAATCAACGCCGGGAGTCCAGTTTCAGCTGCTCGATCTTTCAAGACTTTCACAAAGTCTCGAGCCGGTCCATCGATCAGAGGAAACTTTTCTTTCATCTCATACAATGGCAGCTTTTTCTTCATCTGTAAAGGAAAAAATCTATAGTGATCCATCCACAAAAGAATAAGAGAAAGAAAAACAACTTGCCTCGGCAACCTCTGTCTCTTTGTACCAAATAATCTCTTCCAGAATGTTGCGCGGCTTCTCATCTCCATCCTTGAGCACGTAGCCGCTGGGAGCAAGCCTGCGAATCGAAATGCGCTGCCTCGCTAGATCCCTTTGCTTCTGCTCGAAAGCCGACCACGCATCGCTGCTTCTCTACAAGACAAATCCATCAATAGATAGAAAAAATGTAGGCGCCCGGGCCTCGATCGATCGATTATTCGGCTTACCACGCAGCTGATCCGCAATCTTGGACGGACGCCATGGATCCAGTCGAGGCGATTGGCACTGGCGCTCTCTTTGAATCCTAAGCAAGCCATAAACCCTACGAGGATATTCTAAGAGGATGACTTGACTCTTGTTGACTCCCGTCCCGTCAACGGTCAAGCGTCTCCCGGACGATATTGCCGTGTAGACGAGGGTTCGATCATAGTCCTCTGGGCTCCAGGCAAGGTAGGCTATTTCTTCCGCAACGATCATTCTTTTGCGACGATCGTCTTGTGTAGATCCGCGGCTGGGCCGCATTTCAGCGTAATCCGCTGGATCGGCAGGGAAATATGAGGATTTTCGAGCTCGCGGCCACTCTCCTGCCGGCACTGTTCGCGGTGATCCTCGCGTTTTCTCTTCCGGGCGCCGCGGAAATCTTCTTTGAGGAGCGATTCGACGGTATGGCAGCAGCATTGCTCGAAATGTTTCATAAATTTTGGTGAATCCCTTATTCTCCTCGCTGACCCTGACACACTGTGTGTGGCGTGGTCTCGTGTGTGTTCTTCCAGATGGATGGGAGCATAGCTGGGTGCAATCCGATTGGAAGCGCTCGGATGGTCTAGCCGGGAACTGGCGGCACACGGCCGGGAAATGGCACGGTGATCCTGATGACAAGGGTACGCATTCTTCCATGTAAGCTTGCGCTTGATCTAAGGGTGGTGATATTTCCGTTTGGTTTTCACAGGTATCCAGACATATCCAGATTCTCGTTACTTCGCTATCTCGGCTCAGTTCCCGGTGCTCAATACGAAAGGAAAGACGCTTGTGATTCAGTACTCCGTCAAGCACGAACAAAAGATCGAGTGTGGCGGGGGATACATCAAGTTGCTCAGTGGCTACATGAATCAAAAGCGATTTAGTGGAGATACACCTTACAGGTTGAGATTATAGAGTTGAATTCCTCTCTAACGTTTTTCTCTCTTCCTTTTTCTTTGCAGCATAATGTTTGGTCCCGACATTTGTGGAACTCAAACAAAGAAGATCCACACGATTTTGCAGTATAAGAGCCAGAACTATCCGATTCGGAAGGAAGTCCCTTGCGAGACGGACCAGCTCACTCACGTTTACACGTTGATAATTCGTCCAGACGCGACTTACAGCATCCTCGTCGACAACAGAGAGAGGGATTCGGGCAGTCTCTATACCGACTGGGATATGCTACCTCCAAAGCGGATCAAAGATCCAAACGCTAAAAAGGTTGGTGTGACTTTCGTTTTTAAATTTGTTACGCTTTGCTCTTTGCATTTTTTCAGCCTGCCGATTGGGAGGATAAAGAGTATATTGTGGATCCAGATGACAAAAAGCCAGAGGTATTTATTCTTCTTCTCGCGATCTTGAGAATATATGCTTGGTTGTAATGCAGGGGTACGACTCCATTCCAGCAGAAATTCCAGACCCAGACTCGACAAAGGTTTTAATTTCCTTGCAATTTTTTTTTTGATCCTTGTCTTTTGGTTTCAACAGCCTGACAACTGGGATGAAGATGAACATGGAGTATGGAAAGTACCAAACGTGCCTAATCCTGCTTATAGAGGACCATGGAAACCGAAGGTATTATCTTTCTTTTTCCCCCTGAAATGCGTTTATTGAAGCCATTCATTTCAGAAAATAAAAAATCCCAACTATAAAGGAAAATGGTCGCCATTGGCTGACAATCCAGGTATTCTCTCGTCTTGACTTTATTGTTCTTATTGCTGTTCATTCGGCAGAATTTGAGGACGATCCCGACTTGTATGTGTTTCCGAATCTCAAGTACATCGGTATAGAACTTTGGCAGGTAAAAGCACAATTATCTCATTTAACGAAGGAACGCTAAGCGCATTGACAGGTGAAATCCGGAACTCTCTTCGACAATATCCTTGTATGTGATGATCCTGAATATGCCCGATCGGTGGCAGAAGCTACGTGGGGTGCCAACAAGGATGTAAGTTATCACACTCATGATTCTCCTTAAACTTGCTGCATTTTGCAGTTGGAGAAAGAGGCTTTTGATGAATCTGAGAAGCGGAGACAGGAACAAGAGGAGGTACAGACTTTTGCATCATCGTAGATGACGGTTTTACATCGTGAATCTAGAAAGAGGCGGCGGCGCACAGAGCTGAAAGGGACCGTAGAAGATCGAGACACGACGACGACTACCACTACAGGCGCAAGGAGCGCATGAGGGATCGGATGAGAAGAAGACATCGATTGGTTCGTAGTGATTCTTTTCCTTTCCGTGTGGTGCTCTACATTTACACGTCGTGGTTTTGCTTTTTTCCATTTCCTGGCCGCAGGATGATGACGACGATGATTATCATGTGAGCATCTTCTTTCTCGCAAAAGGCTCCTATTCAACCTTGCTAACGTTGTTGTCATTTCGTGCAGGATGAACTGTAAGAGGCTGGCCGGCACTTTCCTCTTTTCAGAGGTGCTGGTTTGAAATGTGCTTGGAGAATGAATGGACACGGGATGGGTGAATGGACAGACCATCGCGAAGTTGAGCTTTTCATTACTCTCGTCCCACTCCTCCAACATCTACGTCGTTGTGATGCAAGCCAAAGCCGCGCCTTGGTGAGCAAGAGTGACGTCTCAACCCCGAAGTAAACGCGCTGTGAGCTTTCCACACTTAGGCGTGATGCTGAGGCACTAACTGTTACATTTTTCTAGGAGGCGTCGCTGTCGATGCCACGATTGGATGCTCCTCTGTGAGCCTTACGGAAGCGGCCGCGGGATAAGAGAGATCGGTTTTTCCAAACTCACGCAAAGATTTAAACAGGTGCGTTTCCTTCCCTTTCAGAGCTTTTGTCTTTAAGTTTCGAGACAGGGATTGTTTTGTTTTAATGCTTCGATGCGTCAGTTTGATCCGCTGCTGGCCTAGCAACCTTGCAAGCAAGCAACAGTGCTTGTTTCTTCCCTTGTTCGTCGTGTTTGGTGACTCGAAGAAGAGAGAAAAAAAGAAAAACTTGGCTCTCTGGGCTTGTATGCTTGTGGCTTTGCTTGCTCGGTTGGGTTCGTAGGTAGCTGTATGGTTGAAGCATTCATTGTTTTGAGTTTAAAGTCTTCTCTTTGTGGATTCCTTTCGTGGCGAGATATAGTCTCGAAGCTCTCGGTGGACGCAAAAACTATAAACTATGGAGAAATCTCTAAAGAACAGTGTGCTTGATACTCCTTGGTTTGTGCCGGATTGAAAAGATTGGAATTTGGCTTGCTTTGCTTGGAAGTGGTGGTGGTGCTTGTGTCCATTGATTGCTACGGGGGAGAGCATTGCATTGCTTCCGCGAATAATTGCCTGGAGTAAAGCTTCTCTCGTGGACGGCTGGGATCTCTTGCCGCCTATCCGACGGTAACGATCGCGAGCGCTATTTTACGGCAGTTTTGAGGTTAACTATTACGGGCATATTCTATTTTATTTTATTTTGGTGTTGGCGTACGAAGGCGCGGGTTTAACAATGTATGGGTGGGAATAAAAGAAAGAATGAAAGACGCCAAAAAAGAAGGTGAGAGAGAAGAGGAGCGTCTCGAGTGACCCGGCCAGGGCACCGCGCGAGGGATTGGATGGAGTGCTCGGCTATGGCGCTGCTGGTTGGGGACATCGTCGCCGGTGAAATACGATTCTAGGTCTCCTCCTCTCTCTCTCCCTCCCTCCCTTTGCTCGCAATCGCCTGTCGCGGAAGATACAAGGAAGATTTTCCATCCGCCGCCAGTACGAAAGATTTGATGCATCGGTGTGGCAAATGTGAGGGATCGTCTCACTCTACACGGCAGGGATGATGGAAGCTCACGGATTGCGCGTGGAGGATCTTGTCGGCTAGAGGTAAAATCATCTCTGTGTTTTTCTTTTTCTCGTTTTTTTTTTTTTTCCTTCTTTGATGATCTCGCGTTTGTTTCAGGAGCTACAATTCCCTTGAGTTAGAACACCGGAAAGAATGGAGAGGTCAAGGCAGCAAAGGCGATGGAATACAGGGCAATTGATGAAGAGCTTGGATGAATCGCAATTACCAAGGTCTGTAGAGCCCAGTAGTAGCCATGGGAGGAACCTCGCATCAAGGCTGGGAATGACGGAGGTCTCGTGCTTTCCCAGCTCCCGATCAAGACGAGCGTCCAACAGGATGGAGTTTCTTAGAGACAACACAGCGGGGTCATCGAACTCACGGAGGAGGATGGAAACGAGCAAGATAAACTCCGAGCGGGGGAAAGGAATTCGCATCATAAACAACGAACTGGCCCGTGAAAGAGAAGATCTCGCGGCCGCCAGCCTTTCCGACGAGGACGACCAAGTCTTTGATCTGTCGCTGCTGGAAGGAGCCTCCTACCCCAACGTTTTGGGGGCAGGGACGAGCATGAGAAGCTTGAGTTGCAAGCGAAAGAGCTCTTCGTTTGTTCGCGGCAGCACAAGCACTGGAAGTGGCGGCTCCGGCAAGGCAAAGATGGCGGAAGAGCAAGCTCTAAGAAACCAAAGAGGACTTCATAACTTGCGAAGGTCGTCAACTTCGATAGACGGGCAGAGGCTAAAGGTTTCCAGGAGGAATGCCGATGCTCCAGAAGGCGGGGCCTCCTCTTCCTCGTCGCCTTTGCGTTTGTCAAGAGACTCAACCGCGCCGGACTACGATCGGTTACTAAGTTCCGCGAGCTCACTCACAAGAAGGCCGGCTGGTGGCACTGTCGACACGCGTGGCCGGAGTCGTAATTATGATCCAAGCAGCTCGGCCGAAACGGTCCCGAGGAGCGTGAGGAGTGCGCTGCATCCTCCGGAACGATCGACATTTGCGAGAAGGGATTCCAGAGAAACGCCGGAATCGAGCAGCCAGGCCTTCACAAAACGGAACATTTCGAACTGCTTTGGAAGCGGTCGAAGATCGCCATCTCCGAGGCCGATTGGTGGCCATGAGAGAGGCTCCCGCCACCTTGCTGCTTCGAGCTCGAATCCAGTGCAAGCTCCGCCATCCTCGTTGCTCTCGGCGGCATTGGAAGCAGCGGCGACGCCGTCGTCCTCGAGCTCGTTTCGCCAACAAGGTGGCCAAGTTTCCTCGAGCGGTGACAACAATCAGTGGTCGACACCAACAATGGCTTCTGGGTGGGAGTACCATCGTCCCCGGCTCATGGCGGAAGGCCTCGCGAAGGTAAAAAAAGAGAAAGCTTCCTCTGTTGATCACTTCTTCGGGAACTTGCTATCCAGATCCTATTGGCGTTGGAGCGGGTTGAAAACGACGAGGAGTTGACGCATGAGGTGAGGGAAAGCTGTTTTTGGCAGCCTAGGTTCTATAGGCCTAAGATGATTTTTTGCAGCAGCTGTTGATGCTGGAAGCCACCGTCTTGTTTGGCGGGATGGCGGTCCACGATCGCCACAGTGACTGGAGGATGGACGTCGATAACATGACCTACGAAGTAAGCTCCGAGTTTTCACAAAAAGGAAGTTCTAAACTGGAAGAAATTCGGCTCGCAGGAGCTCCTCGCCCTCGAAGAGAAGATGGGAAGCGTAAGCATTGGAGTGAGCGAGGAGAGGATAGCTCATGGATTGCAAAAGTGTCGATTCAGTACGCTGTTTGCCGGGTGCGGGCAGGATGGCGAGCTCAAGTGTAGCATCTGCCAGGTGAAAAAAACTGCGATTCTGGAACAGGAGATCTAAACGTTTGGCTCTCGCTTCCAGGAGGAGTATCGCAATGGCGAGCAGCTGGGGCGGATCGAGTGTGGTCACAAGTTCCACATCGGTTGTATCAAGCAGTGGCTTGGACACAAGAACTTATGCCCGATCTGCAAGGCCACGGCAGTGTCGTGATCTCGTGCACGTCAACTTGTGAGTTTCACGTCCTTGTTCTTTCATTCCACACACATCCTAGTTTTTAGAAAGAATAAACTCTAGACTTTTCTTTCAATGGCATCTTAAAGCAGGAATTCTCGAGACTATCTTTGTTTTCCAAAGTCAATAATAGACTTTAAAGGCGAGAGAAACTCCATGGAAACTACCCAGGCTTCGTTTCGCCATCCAAAGATTGCATTGGGCCGTCCAGAGAAATATCTTTGCAGGAGCTTCTCGCGCTTTACTAAAGTGTGGAAGTTCTCGGGATGGCGAGCTCAAATGTAGCATCTGCCAACTTTGACTAAGAGTTTGAGGCATTGTTTTCCAGGAGGAATTTCGCAATGGCGAGGATCTGGGCGAGATCGATTGCGGTCACAAGTTCCACGTAAACTGTATCAAGCAGTGGCTTGGACGCAAGAACTTGTGTCCAATCTGCAAAGTCACAGCAATGTGACAAGAGAAAGTTCGTGGAATCCAACCGTTATGCTAGTAGTCTTTCCATTTCGCTTTCATGGATCGCTCAGGACGAACGGTGGCGATTTGGCCAGGCGAGGAAACTTCTAAAGATTCGTAGCAAGCATCCAGGCAAGTTGGAGCGTATAGTCTACGTAGGGGGTGGGCACGGATACGTAGACGTGGCGAGAGATCCATCGCACGCGCGTGACCGCGAGAGCGAGAGATCACTCGTCCTCCACGCAAGTCGCGAGACGCCAGGCGCAAATAATGGCTGTGTCAGGCGGACACGACACAGTAGAATCTCCTCCCTCCGAAACAATCCAAGCATTGTGGAAGAACCACTTTGAGTTAGCTTGAGAAACACCCATATAATCTCTTCCTCTCCTCGACAGCTCTCTTCTTTGTAGATCTTGGAGCGCGAGCGAGAGAGCGATTACTTCTTCTTCTCGATCGTCTTCTTCTTTGTGATAGTTTCTTGGCAATGGAGATCCACTCGCGGATGTGCGTGGCCAAGGCCGTCCCCGCCACCGCCCCTCCGCTGGTCCTCCTCACGCCGCTCGACCTCTTCCACACCAGCCAGATGCCCATCGTCCTCTTCTACGAGAACGCCCCCGCCGGAGCAGCCGCGCGCATCGAGTCGGGGCTCGCAACCGTGCTGGATCACTACCCGGAGCTGGCGGGGCGGATCGGGCGCGACGAGCAGGGCCGCCACTGCATCCATCTCAACAACGAAGGCGCGATCTTCGTCGAGGTGGTGTGCTCCTCCGAGCTGGCTCCCTTCCTGGACAAGCGCGGCAACGACGTCAAGGATCTCGTCGGCTCGTCGACGCTGGAGCTGGGCGATGGGATGAACCGCGTGCCGCTCATCATCCAGGTGACGCGCTTCGCTTGCGGGGGGCTGGCCCTCAGCTGGGAGGGACACCACCGCGTGTGCGATGGCTCCGCCCACACGCAGTTCTTGCTCAACTGGGCATCTGCTGCAAGAACCGGATCCCTCACTCCAGGATTCGTCCCGCTCATCCACGACCGATCTTTCTTGTCTCCCAGGGACCCCCCGGTCGTGGAGGATCCACTAGTGGAGTTCGTCCACAAGCCCATGTCGCGCACCACCGTCCCGGGGCAAGAGGTCCTCACTCTCACGGAAAACTTGACGAGCAAGCAGATCTCCCACCTCAAATCTCTCTGCGGAAACAAATACACCACCTACGAGACTTTGAGCGCGCACTTCTGGAGGTGCATGACCGCGGCCAGGGACTTTGAAGACCGGAGCACTCTGGTCGGGCATTTTTGTCCCGCGAATGGTCGTTCCATCCTCAATGCCCCGCCCGGGTTTTTTGGCAACGCCATTTACCACACCTTCGTGCAGACGAGCGCCGCGGATCTGCTGGATGGATCGCTGGAGCACGCCGCGGGGCTCATCCGGCAGGCCGTCAAGCGCGCCAGCAACCGGGTGTTTCTCGAGTCGGTGATTGATTATCTTGCGCTGGAGCAGGCGGGCGAGGATGATCGGCCGCCGCAGGCCGAGGCCAAGGACCAGAGCTGGATCCCGAATGTCATGATCCCGTGCTGGTCGAGGTTTCCGCTGTATGAGGTTGACTTTGGGTTTGGCGATCCGTTCCGGTTCTCCACCGTGAATGTGGGGATCGAGGGGGTGTTCACGATTGGGCCGCCGCGCAAGGACGGGATCACGGAGGTGCTCATCAATGTGCGCAAGGAGCACGCCCAGAGCCTGCTCGCTCACCTCGGCAACTGAGCGGACTCTCTAGCTCTTGAGTCTTGCTTGTATCATGTATTGTTTTCTTTCATTTTGATCGTCTTTACGTTATTATTATTATTATTATTATTCTTGTTCTTGTTCTTGTTCTTGTTCTATTTGTTGCTCAGTAATAAGAAAATGATCTTGACGTACGGAGCCCATGCACGGAAGGCACTGTGTGAACACGACAGGAATGAATGATACGTGAGAGGTCAAGCAAGTAACGTATGGGCCACTGCCGGAACTTTTACTTTTTTAACAACGTCTCCAGGAAAGCTGGAAGCATTTATTTGTTTATTTGATTTGTCTCAGACGGATCACGAGATCACGCCTTCCAAGTAACATTGATTCGAATGCGTGTTGGCTTGTCCAAATGCCACCACCAGGCATCAGTTTGGCTGCTGAGAAAGAGTCTTTATTCATGCCTTCCATCAGAAACAACAACATTCAGCGCTATAATATTTTTCTATGAATCGGGATCTTTTGAGAGCAACAGCGTTCCAACCAGCCAGGCTTGCGCTCTTTGTTTTCTGGCCTTCAATTGATTCCGTGAACATGGGCTAGTCTATAGTGTTGCATCATTTCTGGCCCCCTGAAACCAAGCTTTAGGTCTTGCAATAATACCTTTGGGACCCCCGATGATCCCTCGTATTGCTTTGGATTGGATACTATTTCCTCGCACTGGAGGTGGAGACTTTGTGGTATGATAGCGTGGGGCGATGTCCATCCTCAAGTAGTTACCGAGGAAGTAGGAATTCCAAATCAGAGATAGCTCAAACTTGCGCCAGTAGAACAATGTGATAGTTTCATGGGCTGCGTGGCAACAAGCGAGCCACAGCAGTATCGTGAAAGCAATGCAAGCTCCAATTACTCGCAAACCCTAAGAACATTTTTTAAAAGTATCTTGGAATCGAGGGAAAACGATGGCTCCCACCAAGCAGCGCCACCACACCGTAGTGCTGGTGCCGGCGACTGGATTCGGGCACCTCAACCCGGCGCTAGAGCTCGCCCGGCAGCTCGCCCACCGGGGAGTCGAGGTAACTATCATTGTCTTCCACGAGCACCTCCCCGTCGCCCAACGCCGGGTGCTCAAGTCCCCCGGCTTCGACGCCGCTCGCGCCAGCATCCGCCTCGTCCCATTCCCGGAGCCACTGCGAGGCGACAACCCCTCGCAGCCCATCGCGGCGCTGACCCAGGTGATCCGGGAGGAGTTCAAGCTAGATCTAGATCAAGCAGCAGTCCCAGCAGAGAATGGGAAGGTCACGAAGCCCAGCCTCCTCATCTCGGATTGCTTCGTCAAGTGCCAGGACACCGCCGACGAGCTCCATATTCCACGGGTGGTGTTCTGGACCGCCGCCACTCTGAGCGAGAGCATCTTCGCCAGCGTCCCACTGCTCATATCCACGGGCCACATCCCAGTCCACAGTTAAGTCAACACTCCTCATTGACTAAACCTCGGGCCGTTAACTAACCTCGGCTTGCTTGCAGCGAGCCCACACAAGGACAAGATCGTCTCGGTCCTGCCCGGAATGCCGGTGCCGCTCGCCACCACCCGGCTACCACTCTGCTTCTACGGCGTCGACCACGATTTCTCCCCGTTCGCGATCGCTTGCTTCGAGAACTCATCGCGGGCGCAGGGATTCCTGGCCAATACCGTCGAGGAGATCGAGGCCGAGGTGGTGGCCGTCCAGCGCAGCCAGCTCCAGCGCTACTTCCCAGTCGGCCCCCTCATCCCGCCCGAGGTCCTTGAGGACGCGGTGGATCACCCGGTCATCCACTGGCTGGATGGAAAGCCACCGCTCTCGGTGCTCTACATCGCGTTTGGGACGGAATCCATCCTCCCGCTCCACCAGTTTGAGAAGCTGGTCGCCGGGCTGGAGTCGAGCAAGCGGGCGTTTGTGTGGAGCATGAGAAAGGTGGTGCCCGAGGCCGAGGACGAGTTCTACGACTCGGTGAAGAGGAGGCTGGCTGGGCAGGGGCTTGTCGTGGATTGGGCTCCCCAGAGAGCTATCCTGGATCATCCATCCATCGGCGGCTTCTTTACGCACTGCGGGTGGAACTCGACGCTGGAGGCGCTGTGCGCTGGGGTGCCGACGCTGTGCTGGGCGTTTGGCGCGGAGCAAAACATGAACAGCCTGCTCATGACGCACAAGTGGGGGATCGGCGTGGAGGTCGGGCACGGGCCGGATTGCGACGTGGACGAGCGGGGTATTGGGGCGGCGATCGAGGGGCTACTGGCGGGGGAGGAGGGAGCCGCGATGAGGAAAAGGGCGATGGAGATGAAGGGAGTGGTGGCGGCGGCGATGGAACCGGGAGGGTCGTCTTACGAGAGCATGAACGAATTCGTGAGGACCTTTTGTCCAATGTAAATTGAAGATGTTTATAATTATTAAGATCATTGACTGATCAAATGTTCGATGGAATTTAGAAGTGTACAGGAGGGAAACTAGGAAGAATTCTGCGAGGACAGCATCTACCTTGAACTCTCCAGTGAAGACATACAAGGGATCGATCGCTTTTAATTTCTTGACACCTCAATAGGACCGATCATCACCAAATAATGATTTTGTCTTTGCATTTGTAGCGTCATCTTGAGCAGATACTTGGAAGTATTGATGGATAGTGTGTAGCGTTTATCTGCTAGAACTCGACAAAGTCAAAACAAAAATGTTAGGAGTCGGTGAGCCTGCTTTGCTCGTTTTTAAAATACTGCGCTTATCATGCACTTTTCTTTTCTTTTCTAAGTTCTTGGACTTAGCAGATCGTTTCATAGCCAGGTTTCTTGACCTCCAAAGCTACAGTTTTTGCCTGTTTTATCATTCTTATCGCCACAGCATAAAGATCCTTCACGATTGGAGGCTCTTCAACGTGATTCCTCACAGGAAGTACCACAGTGACATGTACATTCTCGATTTTCGTTTTGCTAGGGCCAAGCTGGCAGGCTGGCTTTACAACTACATTTTCCTCTCTCGAATTGCGTTTAAGGTGCGAAATCATTGTTAAGCTCACCATGGCAGCTGCTGGAAGAGCGCTGCCCAAGGCTAGTGGAATTCCGAAATGGTGTCTCAGAAAGAATTTTGACCAGACCACGATGATTAGATAAGATTATCAGCCTCCAGATCCCAAAACTCGAGCGATGGCGAGCCGACTAGCTATCTAAATTATAACTATATTATTGAGCTTTTGCAATGCGAAGCTTGAATAACAATATTACTGTGTTCACTTCTTAATTATCCTAAATATTAATAACATAGTTTATATGTATGAATATACATGTATTATATTACAAGTAAATATGAATCACATATGAACTATTCAATTGGGACTGAATCTAGTTAAAACTCACATTAGTAGGTAAAGGGTTGGCAGAATCCTTCCTTATTTGTGTTCAAAATTGTTCTACTTTGTTTATTCCCTCATTCTTTCTATTAAATTTAGATTTTTTATTTTCATTCTTTTCTTATAACAAACTCTTAAAATATAAAACATTTATGTGTATTACATTGTAGCAACATTAGTATATACTATTTTAACTTATGATTTATCCAGCCAAGCTTAAATAATTTTGCAAGAAAAAAAGGTTTAGATCATTTTATATGTTAGAGAGCATTATGTTTAGTTTCTATGTTCAGCGTAAAACACTTATAAATTAATAAAAAAATTATAAGAATACTTAAAATCTTGTTGATATTCTCCATATTGATGAAGGCATCTCATATTTTAGTTGTTAATTAATTTGGTAAATTTCTTGATTAGTTTATGCCTCTCAATACTAGCAATGATGGTTACTTCTGCATCAGAGAACTCACTGCTAAAATAAATATAAAAAAAAAGAAGCAATAAAGATTTTAACACTTGACACAAGGATGTCCTCACTAGAAAACTTCAGAATGCCTATTTAAGTAAGAATTCTTTTACTCCCCAAATACAAATACTAAATTTTTATCTTTATCCTAAGTTGTGAAGGGAGAAACATTTATAATTAAAGAAGAATTTTAAGATATATAAACTCCATCACAATCAATATTGACAGTGTTGTGTGGACATTGTAGGCCATTTTTGTGATTTGAATTTTCTATATAATAGTGTATGAAAGGTACATTATATATAGTCATACTCTTGAAAACTAATTAGTTAAAATTTTAAATATGGTATTAGGGCTTTACAAATATAAAACATTTATATTTTTAGAATAGTTTCTAGGACCAGCCACGAGGCCTTTTTTCAGCCTTTGAATGTTGTGTTGCATTGAATCGATGGAAATGGTGAGACGTATGAATCAAGCAAAAGCACTCTGTCATGAAATGTCAGGTAAAAAAAAGGTGTTTTAGTATGCAATTCTTGCTGGTTTTGGTGGTAAATTCCATACTGCCAAGGTAAAATTGAATGCCACTCCACTCTCTAGTACCTTGTAACACTATGGTATATATAACTTTTCACAAAACACCTACCTCAATTAAGTAGAGATTGGTCAAGCCAAAAATGTGTTTGATCTCCAGCTTGTTAACATGCCAGCCCAAGAAGGATCTAATAAATTGGAATCTAATGTTAGATAGCTCATGAGAAATGGTTGTAACTAACAAGCCATAAATCATTTCAACTCACTTAAGCTTGATATAGTGATTCCAAATAAGATTTTGTTTCTGGTGGTTTAGATCACATGTGGTAACATAAGACAACAATGTTGTCTCCGTCATAGTCCCAAATCAACAACTGCTAAAGGCAAAGAAACTGCTATGGAATAAGTAATTTTGAACTGATTAGTACTTCAAAGCTAAAAAGTGGCCACTAAGAATCTGGATCCTGATGAGTAGTTAACATATTGACTCTGTAGAAATATAAATCTATCAAGCAACGTTTAAATCTAGAAATATCCCTGAGTACAGTTGCCAAGGTGAGTGACCAAGCTCTGGGCGTGCTCCTTGCGCACATTGATGAGCACCTCTGTGATCCCGTCCTTGCGCGGTGGCCCAATCGTGAACGCCCCCTCAATCCCCATATTCACAGTGGAGAACCGGAATGGATTGCCAAACCCAAAGTCAACCTCATATAATGGAAACTTCGACCAGCACGGGATCATGACATTTGGGATCCAGCTCTGGTCCTTGGCCTCGGCCTGTGGCGGCTGGGCATCTTCACTCGCTTGCTCCAGCGCCAGGTAGTCGATCACCGACTCGAGGAACACACGGTTGCTGGCGCGCTTGACGCCCTGCCGGATGAGCCCCGCGGCGTGCTCCAGCGATCCATCCAGCAGATCCGCGGCGCTCGTCTGGACAAAAGTGAGGTAAATGGCGTTACCAAAAAACCCGCTCGGGGCATTGAGGATGGAACGACCATTGGCGGGACAAAAATGCCCGACCAGAGTGCTCCGGTCTTCGAAGTCCCTGGCCGCGGTCATGCACCTCCAGAAGTGCGCACTCAGCGTTTCGTAGGTGGTGTATTTGTTCCCGCAGAGAGATTTGAGGTGGGAGATCTGCTTGCTCGTCAGGTTTGCCGTGAGAGTGAGGACCTCTTGCCCCGGGACGGTGGTGCGCGACATTTGCTTGTGGATGAACTTCACTAGTGGATCCTCCACGACCGGGGGATTTCTGGGAAACAAGAAATATCGGTCGTGGATGAGCGGGACGAATCCTGGAGTGAGGGATCCGGTTCTTGCAGCAGATGCCCAGTTGAGCAAGAACTGCGCGTGGGCGGAGCCATCGCACACGCGGTGGTGTCCCTCCCAGCTGAGGGCCAGCCCCCCGCAAGCGAAGCGCGTCACCTGGATGATGAGCGGCACGCGGTTCATCCCATCGCCGAGCTCCAGCGTCGACGAGCCGACGAGATCCTTGACGTCGTTGCCGCGCTTGTCCAGGAAGGGAGCCAGCTCGGAGGAGCACACCGCCTCGACGAAGATCGCGCCTTCGTTGTTGAGATGGATGCAGTGGCGGCCCAGCTCGTCGCGCCCGATCCGGCCGGCGAGCTCCGGGTAGTGATCCAGCACGGTTGCGAGCCCCGATTCGATGCGCGCCGCCGCCCCGGCGGGGGCGTTCTCGTAGAAGAGGATGATGGGCATCTGGCTGGTGTGGAAGAGGTCGAGCGGCGAGAGGAGCACCACGCGTGGGACGGAGGCGGGGACGTCGGACTTGGCCACGCACATCCGCGAGTGGATCTCCATCGCCAAGAGGAAGAAACTAACGCAAAGAAGAAGAACGAATCGCTCTCCTCAATTATACGATTTTTATCTTCCACAATGTTCGGAAAGATTCGCCTGACACGCCTGCCTTTAGCGTGGAGGAAGCGAGATCGCTCATTTTCCCCAGCCATGAATCTCTCGTCACGTCGACGTATTCGTGTCCGACTATAGCCTCGATTGGGATAGCTTACAACTTGGTCCTCTGGTGTCGCAAAACTTTCCCGTGGCAGCCAGGTAGTCAGATAGAAAAACCAAATCCCTGAGATTCATATTCGTGTCATGGTGTCCACTATCCTTCTTCGAAAATCGCCCCATCACACATGGCTGCTCTGGGTCCATGCGAAAAGGAAAAGTTTGTCTAGCATTCCATCAACTTGTGAATGCCGCGATTGTCACAGACTTTGCAGATTGGGCACTGCTTGATACAATACTTGAGACCGCAATCGAACTCGCTCAGTTCTTGCTCCTTATTGCAAAATTCCCTCCAAGAAAAATCCGAGAAGAGATTACACTGGAGCTCGGCATCCCGACCTTTGTAATCCATGAGCTACGGAACCCCATCCTCTCTTCAAGCGCGAGAAGCTCCTGAAAAGATTTCTCTCTTGTCGCACGAGAACTAATGCACATACCTCATAAGTCATATGTTGTCATTGCAGATCTGCTCTCCAAGGAACATTGGGGATATGATACACATCCTCCTCTTCCTAACAAATTATTCATTTGTGATCTTGCAAAATAATGGAACACGGACTTTTGGAAGAAAAATGACTTCACCTTTTGACTTCCGCGTCGGAGAATGAGCACTAGCAGTCACCCTTGACTTCAGCAAAAGCGATGATGATTGATGTGGCTGATAAAAGAAACAAATTTGACACTGGGATCACAAGTCACTTCACTCGGTTGCAAGGGAGAATGTTGCGCACAATTCTCGTGCTTCTGTCACTGGCAGCTGCAAAAGGAGAAGATCGTGCAACGCTCTTGCGCTTCAAGAACCAGGTGAGCGATCCATTATCCACACTCAGTACCTGGAACACGAGTTCTGGCGTAGATTCGTGTCACTGGCATGGAGTCAATTGCTCCAGCTCGGGCCGGATCACTGGACTTGATCTTCAGTCACTATCACTGCCCAGGCCTGCTTTGCTCGATGCGATCCAAGACCTGTCCCATCTAGAGGAGCTCCACATCTCCCAGACCAATTTCACCGGATCGTCCACCAATCGTTCGCTGCGAAGTTGCAACCTGGAAGCTCTCGACTTGTCTCAAAACAAGCTCACTGGCGATGATAATCTTCTGCTTCAGATCCTCGAGAGCTGCGGCGGGACGATCAGAGCTCTCAACCTTTCTTCCAACGAGCTCACTCGCGATGATATGCTGTCGTTGCCCCTCTTCTCCCGGGAGAGGTCTTGCAACTTGACGGTCTTGGACGTCTCAAACAACCGGCTCGTCGGCGAGTTTCCTCCCAGGATCCTCTCCACTTGCGTTGAACTTCAAAAGGTCTTCCTGTCCAGCAACAATCTCTCTCAGATCTTTTTCCCCGGCTGCAAAAACCTGATTAGTATCAACATCTCGTTCAACCAGATATCGGGAGAGTTATTCGCTCCCGAAAGCAGATGTACCTCACTGAAAGTTCTCGCTATCGCTCGCAACGCCTTCTCCGGGGATTTCTTCTCGCTGTTTGGAGCAAGCCAGCGCTCGCACAACTCCAGCTCGAGCAGCTTCTTTCCCGTCGTTGAGAGGATCGATGCCGCCTACAACAAATTCACGGGTGAGGTTCCAGCGCATATTGGAGTGCTCACGAGGTACATGGATCTCAGCTCCAACAATCTCACCACCATAGGAAACCAGCAGCTTTGCAGCTCCAACTCAAGCCTGGAAAGTTTGCTCCTACAGAACAATCGCCTGGATGGTGAGCACAATGTGTTTGGCTCCCTCCAAAGGTGTGCTAGTTTGAAGATGCTGGACGTGAGCTTCAACACGCTTGCCGGAGAACTCCCCAGCAGCCTATGCCAAAACCATCCACAGCTCAGGCACCTGATCCTCTGGGCGAATAGCTTCGAAGGACAAATACCATCCGCTTTGGCCAAATGCAAAAACCTCGTCAACTTGATGCTGAGTTTCAATCGTTTCGAGGGAGAGATTCCATCACAGCTCTCCGACCTGCAAGACCTGCAATGGTTGAGCTTGAGCAACAACAGGCTTAGTGGTGAGATACCTGCTGCGCTGGGACGCCTCCACAGGATGACCGTACTCCAGCTAAGAGACAATCGCCTGCAAGGAGAGATTCCATCAGAGCTCGAGCAGTGCGAGAATTTGCTGATGATAGACTTTGCCGGCAACTTGCTGAGTGGAAATATCCCTGCTCGCATCGGCAAAAGTTCGAGTAGCCTCCTGACACTGGTACCTCGAGTAGAGAGAAACTTGGGAGAGTTGAGGTACGTGACACCGGCGCTGGCTCTTCCAACCTGCACTGGAGCGAGTGGAGTTTTTGGAGTCCAGGGAATTGCACTGGAGGATTTTGAAGCATTGCTTGCCGCGAGAACCAGGTGTGATGCTCACGTCGGTTTCTTTCCCCCGGTTACTCTCGATCTCAGCAGCCCCATTTACTTGGACGTCTCGAACAACAACCTCACTGGAGAGATACCGCTCGAACTTGGCAGGATGGAGGATCTTATAGTCCTTGGTCTCGCCTACAATTCTCTCACAGGAGAAATCCCGGCAGGCTTTGGAACCATCCCGACTCTGGACACGGTTGACATGTCGCACAATCTCCTCCAAGGTGGCATTCCGGGCGGCTTTGCGAGTCTCGGCACTCTCACCCGGCTCAACGTCTCGTATAACAACCTGTCTGGAATCGTTCCCCAGGGCCCCCAGACTGGAACTTTTATCCTCGATGGAAATCCCCGCCTGTGCAACCATCTCGAGGTCCCGGGCTGTGCCGCCCCGGTTGATGCCACGCCACAAAGTTTTTCACGGGGTGGCGACGATGGCTTCGGCGGCATCGTTGGGATGGGAGTTGCTCTTGGAGTCGTCGCATTTGTACCCAGCGCCATTCTGTCCTTCAGGTATTTATCGCCACTGTTCTTCTAGAGTCCTTCGAAAAAGATTGGGGAGTGAATCAGGCATTGTCGGAATCTCTTAACGGCGGCCACTGTATGCCCGCGGAACTCTTAGCTCTTGCAGTTAAAACGCTGTCGATACGTATCAGATGCTGCAAGCGTTACTCGCAAGCAGGACTACAATTCTTACAAGCTTACCTGGTTTTATTCACGTTGACCTGTAACATGAAATAAGTAGCAAGAATAAAATGGTAATATCAACACCTTGTTAGACGCTTGCATTGTCACGACTTCGTCTTCCTCGACCTTCCTTTGGAAACTTGTGAGGCGTTGAGCGGCAATGATGGCTTTTGTGTTGTTGAATTTTGCTGCCTAGGAAGAACGTTATGAAGATTCTTCCGAAGCCTTCCAACTGGTTGCTCAGCGCTCTGAGCCAGAACCGCGGTTGCCGTTACAAACTGCTTATTTGGTCTGAGGCTCATCTCTTCCGGAGCTGACGAACTGAAATTCAAAACGAAGTGAGGTATGTGTGCCTAAAACCTATAAACTAACCGAAACTGCAAGCTTTCGCTTACAACGTTGCGAAGCTTCGAGTCGCAGCCTCGTTCATGCTGCAATGGATCGTATGATTGCGCTTCCATCTAAAGAAATCGCAGAATAAGTACCGTTCCTTTCCCTTCCTTTTACCTTGGATAAAGACAAGCTGACCATGTCCCTCACATCGTCAGGCACGCTTGTTGCGGTGCGCATGGCTGGAGGAAAAGGCAGCAGCTCCTCAGACGTGGCAATTCTCTAAGGTAGGAAACGTAGTTTATGGGGATAGATACGAAAACAAATGTTTACCTTGGCCAGGAGAGAGCCATTTTGTGACGGCAACAGAATGTAGAAACAGACGAACGAAGTAGGACATCCAGTTTCAATGTCGGTGTCGGACTTACAGAGAAGGCCCGTGTCCTTAGAGTGCAACTCTTGGCAAAGAGCTGCGAAGACTGGACAACAAACAGAGTTAGCAGATCCAAAAATGTAAAGTGCATGCTATGGTACCGTGATCATTGTTTGTTGAATCAGCCCCTCCAGGATTTAGTTCAATGTCGGCCTCCGAAGAAGAAACCAGCACGTACGGCATGCCAAATAGCACACTTTCACTAAGCAGCGCTAGATAGACGGAGCCAATTACGTGGAAGTAAGCAGCTGCACCAGGCTCCGGAGGAGCAACCAGCGAAGGCATTTGCATTACCGTGTCCTCTCCAACTTGAAGACAGCTTCTTGCAAGATCATGTTCATCCAGGTCACTTCCTGTGACGGGACAAATCGCTCTCTTGCAGTGTAAGATTGAACCGAGCGGTAATCCATGGCACCGACAGGCCTGAATTTGTAAATGTCAGGTAAGAAAATATGATAGAACCTCGGAAACAAACCTGGCATGGTTTTATCACGTCATGAAGTCGCAACACGGCGGGATAAAGCGTGCAAAAAATCTTCCTGGTAGAGTTGAGCAAAGGTGACTGGAAGCAAAGCACTCCTTCGAGTGACCCTTCGTCATCGGTTCCAAGTTCTCGCAGCCACTCTTTGACGAGGCGTGACATGTTTGCTGAATCTGACAAAAGCAATCAGAAACACCATGAGCACGCAAAGGCAGCCATTTTGCAACGAACTCCATTGCAGTCTCTGAAAGGTGCAGTTCTCGAACTCCGTGATATCGACATGAAATTCTCCTGTGAGCTTGGGCTGTGGGTACAGGCATTGGTCGTTGGTATGATCGGAGAGGTCGAGCTCGATGAAGTCAATCATGATGCATCTGGCCGCTGCTTCCTGCAAAAAACAACGAGTGATTTCATCCAAGTTACTAGCTACGTATTTGAAGAAGAGTAGGACTTACGAGAATTGCCTGTCTAAAGGATGCAGCGGGCTCACAGAAACAATTGGTGATCACTACAATTCTCTTGGTTGCTGTTTCTGGCGACCACTGACTTGAAAGTAGAGAAGACAAGCTTGACACTGGAACGATCGAATCGAGTTGTTAGTTAGTGAAGGAGCCTCGAGAACGAAAAGTATTATGTCCATTTACCCTGTCCAGTTCCTTCTTGGGGCATCGCAGAAGCAGCCGTGAGACCATTCACAACAGCGTAGTGGAAATCTCTGTAGCTGAAAGGCGCTCGGGGCTCAAAGACAATCTCCAGCTGAAAGTCAAGAGGGATCCATGAGAAAGATAAAGACTAAGAGATACACACCTTGTAAGATTTCTGCCCCGGATCGAATTTGATGGCGCACAGGCCTATGCTCTCGATCGCCGCCAGCGCGCCGCTCCGGTGTGCTCGCAACACCGCCAGATTGGCAAGCCGCAACAGGCACTGAATCGATCAAGATCAGCCAAGCCAATGCCAATGCAGGCCTGCATGGCGATCGTACCTGCTGGATCGATCCAAGAACAGCGCCCTGGAGGCGCGAGGCGTCGACGACGAAGCAGAGAAGCGCCATAATATTGTAAAACCCTAGCCTAGAGGATTCCCTCTCAAAACGTTTAAAGTAAACATACCTTGGTTGTAAACTTAGAAAGAAGGGAGGAAGGAAACCACGACGAGCTTGACGCTGTGAAGCTCGTCACAGAAGCGTCGAGCAGCGATCATCTCCTTGGTCCCTGTAAAAACAAATCACCATGAAAAATCGAATTGCATTGTTTCTTACTTCATAGAAATCATCCGCAGAGAAGTTCTAACGCTCAGAAAGCTGAAAACGATAGAATCTACATGTTTCCCCCTCTGAAGCTCCTCTCTTCCCTTCCCCCCGCGACCCTCCAAGAACCTAGGATCCGATTCATCAGCTGCCCTCACAACCTAAAGATCGATCAATCTCGCCGCCGCTTCGCTCTCTCGATCGACACTGCCCCCGATCAATCTTGGGTTTGCGCGCTCAAGGGTACTTCCCCGCCACTCTATTTTTATTCTGCCAGTGCGGGCGGTAGTGTTCCCAGGTCTGCTTTTCCTCGTCGCTCTCCCGCCGCCAAAGGTTTTGCCTTTGTTGATTTATTTTCTACATGATATTAATATTAATAATGTAATATATATATATCGGGTTTTCATGGAGGACAACACGGATAGGAAGGTGATTGCGATGTCGAGAGGCTGCGGCGGAAGTCTGAGGACTTTTTCGCCACTCCGCCTTGTAAGCTCGACTCGGACAGCTTCCCTCTAAAGTATGGCCTCATCACAATCCATTGCGACCGGATGCCAGACTACGACCAGTTCCGACTCCTCGAGGTGGAGCCCCCAGCCATCAACGCGGTGCATCTCTCGCGAGCCTTGCCGTTGCCAAAGGAGTCCGAGCTGATCCTTTTGGCGACAGTAAACTGCAGGGCATGCAAGAGCTTCTGCTGACTACATTCCGGGAGTTTACGTCGCCATTGCCCGAACTTGCTTTTGGTATGCTCGACGCGGGCGATGATGAAGATTTGGAAGAATCCTTGGAGGATGGAGCGAGTGAAAAAGAGGCCGCCGAGGGTGAGGGTTTCTCTCTTTTGTTGGCTGCTACTTATCCATTGATGCTTTTAGTCCGGCGAATGAACAAGACAGATGCAAGGTAAGAACCGTTACAGAAACGTACGTACTAATGTAGATCTGATGCCATTGCGCAGTCATGGGCTATGCCAAAGAGACTCCAGATCTTTTTGCAGAAGACGATGAAGATGTAGAAGACCCGACTAGCCTGCAGCACAGGCACTCCAATGTTTTCGTCAAAGTTTACAGGGGCCTTTGCGAGGAACTGCGGGTGGCGGTGGACCTCAAAAACAGCACCAGTGGAAGGTACATAAGAAACCAAATAGCTCAAAGCTCTTGACATGAAAACATTTGCTTGCAGTAGCGAGAATGTCTATCAGCTGGCTGCTGTTGTCATGAAAAACCTGGCTCTGGAACGAAGGGAGCAATGGCGCCCGGTTTGCATCCAGGTGTGGGGCACGGTGAGATGGTACTACGGGTATGTCGAAACCCACGAGTTTGTTCAAGTGGAAAACGAGGAGCTAGTTGAGGAGAGTCTGGCTTGTAAGTGCAGAACAGAATATTCGTCTCCTAACTCGATCCCCTGCAGGTTTTCCTCTGACGAAGAGAGAAGCTCTTTCTTTGACCGTCCCGGGGAGTGTGCCACCACGTCGGATAATGATCCGGAAGAAATTTGCGGAATGGAAGGCGAATCTTTATGGTCAAGAGATGAAGATCCCAGATGGGAGGTATCCTTTCATCGATCCATGGGTATAGAGTTTCAATTTGATCTGTTTTTATTGTTTATTCGCATGAGTTTTAGGGACAAAGGATTCTAGACCAGCAGCTGACGGCGAGCTCGCAGCTGTTTTACGAAGGGATGCTGAAAACCTTGGTGGGTCGGGAGGTGACGAAATGGACTCCTCGCGACGTGAGTTTTTATTTTTATTTTTTTTAATTGATCGTTTTTGTTTGGTAAACAAGTTTACAATGTGTATTATAGGAGAGGGGAGACGGTTAAGTTGGCAGAAAAGATTGGTATTCCAGAGGATCAATGATGTACCAGGGCTCATGCAAGAGTTGAAACAATCTCGAGAAACTGGAAAATGTTGTTGACAGATATATGCATTTCAATAAAGTTGTATTTTGTTCCTAGTTTAATATCGGCAAGATTTTATGGTTGACAAGTTTTTAAATCTACCTCTACTCAAAAGAGAAGGATGTCTAAACATCCTGCCGGCTTGCGGATTGTTAAGTGTTCAGCCCCAATTGCGGAGCCTCTCCCTCATACTCCCATTTTCAATTTTGTTTTAAGCTTTTTGCGGCTGAGTTGGATTTGAGTGGTTATTTAGTTCATGTTTGTCCATGAGCCAATATTTCATATATGGGGTGTTATGTTTATATTAGATAAGTATATGACTTGATGACATGAGTTTAGTGTTTGAGTCTTCTGAGGGCAAGTTAAAGAGTGATTATTAGTTGTTTTGCAACTAGTGATTGTTTGTAAACTTTGTTAAGGACTATTGACACTTGCTTTACTTGATGATGATTTAGCAATGATGGGCTTACTTTACCGGATGTTGTTGTGGAGGATTGTGTCGTTAGACTTACATGGTTTTTCCATATTGGCATATCGATTCCATGTTTGTCAATGTCATTTAGTTATGTTTAGTCAGTGGTGTTGGATTTCATTGAGTCTTGGATGTGGTAAATCACTCCTTGATGATATGTTATTTATATTTGAGTATTGTTGGAGGATTTGTCTCAGATACTGATTAACGTATCTTCAACTTTGGTTAGCTTGGTTGTTGGAGAGCTTTGAGTGGTGATTCACTCTTGCATTCTTCTAGCTTTATTTTGGTGTTGATGGCATTAAAGTGGCCCCTTGCTGTTGACATTATTAATGTTGAAATTCAAGTGAAATGAGATGTCTCTCCTTATGATTGATATTGAGTTTCATTAGTCTTAATGAAGATAGTGTTAATGATTTGGTTTTAGTTTTGTGTTGTTAACATTTATGCATTTGTTAGTTAATAATTATATTAGCATTTGAATGAGCTAAGTAACAAGTTGAGTTAGTTGTGTTCTAGACGAGATTGTTTAGTACAGGTTAAGCTTTAGCTTTTCCTTGAAAAGTGATTTAGTCGTGGATAATACTAGCTTTACAAGAAGAAGAGTTAGTGATTGATATTGGAATATTTGAGTCTTTATTAGGTTTGAGTTCGGATATATCGATCATTAATGATTCTTCATGTGCTTATTATAAAATGAGTTACGTCTTGCTATAGATGGATTCATGGAGGATCAATTAAATGATCACTTATTGAGCATAGCTTCGTTAACTTTTGGATTGGTGTATATATGCTTTTCATTAGCTTTGCACTATAAAGTTTAACTTATGGATGTGTTAAGGAAGATATTGTGGGTTGTACCATGATTTCTCTTTATCATTGAAGTTAGTTTATGTGAGACTCATAATCATTGTTATGCAAGACTTGGTTATAGGCTTTTTCGAGCTTTTGGTTCCTTGAGTTTTCATGCCCATTGTTCCATTTGTTAAGAGTTGTTGAGGAAGGCATTTTGGCTTGTTAGTTTTGATGTTGAAATTAGTATTTGCATTTGGCAATCATTGGTGATGATTGATTATTATCTAGGTTAGTTGATTATCCTTGTCAAAAAGTTTTTCTTGATTGTTGTTAATATAAAATGATTCGTTGTTCTTCCAGATGGTGGATTCTTTTTTCGACGATGATTATGTATCTCTTCATTGATGGGATGATTAATGATTTTCATGATGGTTAGTTATTCACTTTGATAACTTTTGGCTTTTCGCAATACCACATGTTCTTTATGGTTTGCTCTAAATTTGTCTCTTGGGTTTTAGATATTGGTAGGATGTTGCTAATGCTTGCTTGAGCAACTCTGGTTCCTTGGTGTTATTGACTAAGATCTATTCAGATTGACTAGTGAGATAGTTAGCATGAACAAGTGTTTGTTAGTTTTACGGCATTCACTCTGTTCTGTTCATTATTGCTATAATTGGTTTTAATATATTATTACCTTTGGGTGATACATTCGCGAGCATCTTGCTTAGCAGTCGATGATACTTTGTGATCTTTGAGTTATCTTGTGTAGTTTGGCATTCTATTTGCAATCTTTGATAGTTATGTGTTATCATTGAGTTTTCTTGATGATACATTTGCTATTAAATTTTGTTGGATAGTGAATCGTATGTTTTCTAGCAATAGTGATCTTGGTGGTTCCTATACTCTTATACTGGTTTATCGGATGATAACTTATTTGGAATACTTTTGTGTTCTAACCTAAGATTTGTTCACTGATAATTCAGTCTCTTAAATATCATTGTCTCTGACTTTGATATTGTCCATCTATTGATCTTTGAGTTTAGGCCAGTATAGGTAGATTGGCTTTGGCACTTCATGTGTATGCTGACATCTCTAGTCATGGGGTAACTACTGTAGACTGGTCACATCACCCGCCTCTCTGTCGATGTTCCTTATTTCGTTAAAAGAGCGTAACCGTGTAAACAACTCTAACTGCCTATTTACAGTAGTGTATCTAAACCTTACCGACGGGTTTGATTTCTTTACTCATGAGGGTTGGGGCCTCTAACTTCTCTTTTTATATCCTTATGGGCAGGGGCATATCACACTTTTGTAAGTTGAGTGACACCCAGAGTAGCAAGGGTGGTTGACTTTGTTGGTCATTTCCTTGTCGGCAACGGTCGGAAGATGTCTGAGCTGGTAGCACATCCACATTAGACAAAGAGGTTGCCTCATAACTCATTTAAGTTCGTGCATTTCTTATATAGTGTGATCACCGTGAACTTTTAATAGAGTTGTTTCTTTGGTGATGGTCTAAACTCGAGTATGCATCGATGAGGACATTGATTTTCCCTAAGGGGGGGAGAGTGTTGCAAATGTGACTTTGGGTATCAAAAGTTATCTGTCAGCTAGTCCTTACAAACACTCTTTCTTTACTGCC